CAGAGAATGAGACCAAAACTCCTACACAAACACAGTAACAGGCATCATATCCACAAAAGCTAAGAAACAACAAACACCCAGAAGAGAGGTTCTGAGGGCCTGACCCAGACCTGAGCCTTGGATGGCGAGGGGCCTGGAGATGTGATTCATTCGAACAAGTGACAAGGCCTGTGTGTCCCTGTGACCACAGGTCCTGCTGGGACAGGGTTCCACTGAGGGACAAGGTCAGAGGAGCAGAGAGGTGACCCGGTTGAGGAGTGACCACGTCAAAGCCCACGATGCACTGAGCACCACCTGGGCACAGGCCCCGACCACGCTCCGTCCTCACAGCCTCTCCCGTCCCCCCTGCAAAGAGCACAAAATACACAGGAATCTGCAGAATCCTTGGTGCTTCCATTTATTTCCTCTGAGAAAATAATTAATTAAAGGGTCTCCTTTAATTACACGTCACCAGTCATGGCAAGAATTAAAACACGAGGTCAATCCACAGTCTCATTTCAATACAAAGCAGGAAGTTGTAGCTCAGAGCCCCAGGGAGTAAAGGAAGGGATGGGGAGGGCCCAGCCCGCCTCTGCTGACAGGAAAGTGTGGGGAGCAGGGCTGGGCCAGCCCCCCAATCAGAGGTTCTTGAGTCAGGAAGTGGGAGCGTGAACACATTTTCCATCACTCAGTCCCCACAAGGCAGCTGCCTCACGCTGTGGAGGACAAGCATCATGAACACATTCAGGTCAGTGGCTGTAACTGGTGACATTCTCAAAGCCCACTTCATGCTCACAGTGTCCCACAGACTCCCCACCACCCAGTCCTCCCCTCTGCCACCCCTCCCCACGGCAGGGTCCCCCCTTTAGAAGCCGAGAGAGACACATCAGAGCCCTGGGGGCTGTCACTGCCTGGGGGGGACACACAAGGACGGGGTCAGAGCCCCAGGGCAGGAGACTAAGGAGGAACTATGGGGTGGAGGTCCCCCATGGACTCCCGTCTGTACTGTTCCAGGGTCTCAGGGGTCACCCCTCCATACTCACTGGCAGCCTGAGCATAGCTCCCTCCTTTTCCAACTGCGGAAAGAAAACATCCTGTGAGAGACCAGGGAGGAGGCAGGGGGCTCACCACACAGGCACCCCGATTTCTTCTTCCCGCGTCTGGCTTGCAGAGCAGCTCCCATGGCCAGTTCCAAAACCTCCCTCTCTCCATCTTTGGTCTTTGCTGAGCTCTCCGTGTCCCCTAAACGCCAGTCCTGTGGCCATCTCTCCCCTTCTTCCGGTTTCACTGGCTCCTGCTGCATCTTGGCGGCTCCCTTCTGTGGGCTCATCCTTCCCAAGATCCTTCTCGCTCCCAGCCAGGACAATGGGCTCATGGGGACAGAAACGCTTGACCTGCAGAGGCCATTTTTCTGGGATGTTCTCAAAACCCTCAGTGCTGTCAATGGAGAGACACATCCAGAGAACATCCGTGTCCTGGCAGGAGAGGGAACTCCAGCGACCATACTCCTCCTGCCCAGCTGTGCCCTCCGAAGCCCGCTCGGCCTGCTCTCCATCGCCTTTCCTGCCTGCCCCCTCCTTCCCACGCACCGGAGGTTCCTGCACCCCTGGGAACCGGGTCTTTGTAAGAACAATGAGCCAGCAAGTCTTGCTACCAGCGCCATCACCAACCATCACCGATTTCCCTGGATGACAGCCATTGCTGACAAAGGTGCTGCAGGACGCACGCGACGCCTGTGAGAGAAGCTCTGCAAAGGACCTTGACCTTCTCAGGTGAAAGGTGCTCGGGAGCCGGTCCGACTTCGGCCTCGCTAAGCCCACAAAGCTGGTCCCGTGTCCCAAGCTCCGTTCTTGGCAAGAAATGAACAAACCAGGTCACATCCAAAACCTCATTTCAATACAGAGCAGGAAGCTGCAGCTCAGCGCATGAGGAAATAAAGACAGCGATAGTGAGGGTGCAGCGCTGCCCTGCTGGACAGGAAAGTGTGGGGTGTAGGATGGGGCCAGCGCCCCAATCAGAGGTTCTTGAGTCAGGAAGTGGGAGCGTGAACACATCTTCCATCACTCAGTCCCCACAAGGCAGCTGCCTCACGCTGTGGAGGACAAGCATCATGAACACATTCAGGTCAGTGGCTGTAACTGGTGACATTCTCAAAGCCCACTTCATGCTCACAGTGTCCCACAGACTCCCCACCACCCAGTCCTCC